AATGTAGCATTTAAGTCAGCCGTTGTGATATTTGAACAAATTCAACTTTGATTTATGGTTTGGTTTGTATATTCATAAACTTGATCTTCGTTCTATAAATGTGACTAGGAGCTGGTGTAGAAACATTACAAAAAGGTGGCAGGGGAGTTATTACAAAAATGGGAATATTTTTTATTAATTTAACAGAACATTATTGGTTGCATCAAAAACGATATCAATATGCTAACACTATATCTATCAATACAATATCAAGGTGGGTCCACCACTCATTGAGGCTTATTATGAATCATAACTTCCAAAACGTTTTCCCGCACTTCCGATTAGCATGGTTGGCTATATACGGTGCGAAAGAAGTTCAACATACATACAATATATTTGAATGAGATTTAACTTGAAATGTTTTGATCGCCTCTTGCCTGGGCGTAAGCCGTCCATCTCCATATTATGAACCCTTAAACCGTACAACTATATGTCTAAGTCCTGCATATACTACAAATTCCACTACTCCATACAAGTGGCGGCTCCTGCAAAATCTCTCAGGGGGGGCAAATGTCTGGATGATTGATAAGGATAAGGTCCACCCATGCAATGAATAAATTAACAGCTTAAGCATGTAAAGGCAACTTCACTTCTTTAATATTAATGAAAAATAAAGTGACTCTTACAATACATCTTGTTTGTTTATATACTCACTATTAAAACAAACCACTCAAGTTTATTTTATTAAAGATTCCACTAGGTAGCGATAAATTATATTGTTGGATGAAACGTGCTTACGTATGATGATGTTAGCACGTATGATGACGTAAGCACGTTAGTGCATGCCCTCCCGGAAGCCATAGAGAATGCATTGCAGCGCCCCCGTTCGAAAAAAACCATCTTTGAATGTAAGTCTATGGGGCCACTCGGGGCGATTCTCAGCCGGAGTGAAATCGCCCAAAAAGAGGCGGTACTCCACAGAACGTGACATGACGCTGATTGGACTATATCCAGAGGCTGACAGTGACGGCTAGCGTGACTCTGTGGTTGAATGACATTGGTGGTGCGTCGCCCAATCGCCCTAATGAAGAAACCGCCCCTGCTCCATACGTACTATCAACTCCCCTCTGAAATTGAAAGGATTGCTAATCTTTGAATATTTGTAGTTGTTTCCCCTTTTCTTCTCACCTCGCTGATACCAACTATATCCCAGCTTATTCATCCCAATATTAATAAATAATAATAGTTTACATTTGTAATGTGGATTTCATCCGTAGATCCCAATGCGACATCAATGGAAAGCAGGAAATAAACTGGACCTGCAGGGTAAGACCAAGTTTAAATAGGTGAGTTTTCACAACAGTTTTAATATACTGTATATAACGACTCGGATTGTCTCATGGGCAAAGGCAAAGCGTTCTAAAGCTTGGCAGCTGCACTGGAAAAATCCAGATCAAATAAATAGATACGCTTATATAATAAGGAAGTTAAAATGCCTTCAATAACAGATGCGTCTTAAGGCGGGATTTGAATTAGCTGACTCAGGATGAACCGACTATCTGGTGGAAGCTGACCTGGAGGGACGCTACCTGGGATGCAGAGATGGAAAAGATCGTGTATATACAAAGGAGTGCCACCATTGAGAGCTTCGTAGGTGAGGAGGATCTTGAACTCCACCCAAAAACCCGACTGGCAGGCAGTGAGGAGACACGAGCAAGGGAGCAGTATGTATGTATGTTTGTTGAACTTCTTTCGCACCCCAGTTAGCCAACCGTTTTATGTACGGTTGATAATGCATTCAGTAACAGGTGTACACGGGTGATAATACTGGCTGCCGAATTCCACACGTCCTGCAGCTGATGCAACAGCTGAACAGGAATAACAGAAAACAAAGGCGTTGCTGATGTCGATGCGAGAGAAGATAAAAGGCGTGAATCAGCTTATGTTAATCCAACACATAGAGAGAGGATGGGGCGCAACTTGGCTATATATTTACGAGGTTAAAGAAATCAGCCTCAGTGGCATTGTGAATGTGCGCTTCCAAATTGTATTGAGGGATTATGGATAACATCAAGACTGTGGAATGCCTGAGCAGCACCAGTGTTGTGGCCATTGATCATTACGCTCACAGAACTAACCTGAGACCATTGGTGTGCGGAACCAACAACCCCAACATCAGCATCATCATCACAATCCATGGGGCAGAAAGCCCAGAGTAGATGTCTACTGCACATTTCGTCATTTGTTTCCACTTTCCTCTCTGTGAGATATATTCTAATATGCTCAAGTAGTGCCACATCTTTACGGCACCAATCCCTTGTGTCGTCGTCAAGCCATTCTCTGTTAAAGTCTTCCTCTCTTTCTGGTTACTTACATTTTTCCGAACAGCACACTTTTAATTTTGCTGTTGTTATCCACCCTACATACGTGTCCAAATAGTGCTAGGTTCTTTCTCAACATTTCCTGCATCATCAGGGTTTCTTCTGTGTGCAACCTTTTTCCTACTTGTACGTTGGTTACTGTTTTGGTCCGGCTTAGATTCAACTTCAGTCTAATGTATGTGTAGTGGATTCAACTGAGTCGCAGACGTACTCCTTGGAGGCAACACATTTATTGATACCAACACAAAGGGGTAACTTCCCCTTTACCAGAAAACAACCTATGATGGTGAACCACCAGGCTAACTACACTAATTACACTGGGAGTAGCTACAACAGACAGAACCCCAGCTTGGGTCTAGGTCCACGTGTTGGTGACTCTTCTCAGACATCGAACATAGAACGTAGATCTTCAGGATAACACAGCAACGCTGAACCCCTGCCCATCTGGGGACCCGGTTTATATGCTCCCTGGTCGTGGCTGGCTCCGCCTTTGGCCACGACCACCTTCTCGAATCCTCTAGCAGGATCTGGACCCCGACACGTGACCACCCTTAGCCCCCACTTGGGGCCCCTTTGTAGATCTTACCCGTCACGTGCCTTCTAGGGTCAACCAGAGTGCCATGGCCTACATTAACCCTGTTCATGGCCGGCATTCTCACACCTCCCTCCTATAGGGGACAGCACTGCATGCCGAGCGTGGTGCCACTCAGCGCTCTCTATCAGCACTCACTGAGCTCCTCTAGGGCTGGTACTACACCCACATATACGGGGTATCTGCGATGTAATTAAATCGCATGCCATGCCTCGCTATAACCGGCATTACCCAGTGACATCCATGATGTCGCTACATCCGCGATGTCCGCGATGTCCACGATGTAAGTACATCGCGCGCTGTGCCTCTCTTGGGCCGGCACCACAGAGTGACGTCTGCGATGTCACTACATATGTATCCGTGTTGAACTTATTCCAGACCGACATACCCAACCGTGCTAATCGGAGGTGCGGGGGAACGACAATAAACTAAACACCAGGAACGACTCGAGGCAGACACATTGAGGGGGGATTTGGAATCAATATATATTGGAGTGAGCATAACAGTGGAAACTAAGCATGACTTGGCTTAAATGCCAAAATGGGGTCAAGTATATCCACAACAAAAGTGGGCCAAGGACTGATTCATGGAGAACGGCAAATAAATCTGAACACGTGTCTGAATTTCGCTCTCTCCAGGTTGATAAACGGATTTCGATCAGAAAGATAAGAGGTGAACTGGCACAAGACAGAGCCGGAGATGACAAATCTTTTCTGAAGTAGCCTTACAATCACTCGAACAAGATGCAGTGTCACAGGGGGCGCTCAGGTTTATAAGGATAAAAATGCTATGCAAGTCTGCATCATTGAACTAAACTAATAACGAAGCAATTTTTTTATTTTACCAGATAAAGTTCACTGATCTAGAAAGCTCTTTTTCAGAAGCGACCTGACCACAAAAAATAGCTCTACGAAGTGTCTTGTCGGGTGGAAAGGTATAGCAGCCAAATACTCCAAACAGGCGTTGATTCTAAATGTGAAGGGAAGAACATTAGGACCCGGAGGAAAATCTACACGATCACGGGGAAAACATGCACACTCCAAATGTACAGGCGTCAGCGATGCAATCGAACCCACAACCTCCTCCATACCAGACGATGCATACCTGCATTCCATCTCGCCACCGTGTCTGTGCACTCGAGGACCTTGGAGATATATGGGATGTTTGATATGGGACGTATGTACTTTTAATTATAGATTGAAAACTCATTTTTTTAGAGCTGCTTTTTGTGTTTAGTTTGTTGTACTTCCCCTGCACCTCCAATTGATTAACACGGTTGGCTACGTACGGTGCAAAAGAAGTTCAAGATATGGACGGAAAATACGGAAGCTTCTTAAGCAACATCAAGTGAATTTTATTTTGTTTACATATATGGTGCCTTTCTGGCACAAATCCGCCATTCAAAGCACCATCATCACATTAACTCTTAAACTCAATGTAAAATTAGAAAGATACTAAACAATGAGAGAATATTTATTGACAAAATATCTACTGTTGTTTGAAAGAAAAAAAGCATGTGATTGAGAGTTAGTTGTATCTAAGTGCAAAGAGATGTGTTTTTAGTTGTGACTTGAATATCAGAATGTTGGAGTCGGGTGTGCAGATCGCTTTGGGGAGATTGATCCAAAGGTGTGGTGCACCAAATGTGAAAGATCTGTCCAACCACATGGTTTGTTTGTTTGGTTGTTGGTGGTCGGGCTAATGTGAGGAGTAAAACGGTAGCGAGATGTTACCTACCTCCCCTAATATACAGGATGTTGTTGGTTTGATCCGAACCCTCATGCCTTTTGTATAATTGGAGTTTGCGGTGTTTCTCTCCCCATAGTCGCATGGATTTTTATTCGAGTCCGAGTTTTCCCTCTGCATTTAGAAACATGCGTTTAGTGTATTCGGCTGCTATAATTTGAACGTGATAAGCCACCTCGTTAAGCTATCACTTGTGGCCAGATTGCTGCAAAAAAGAGCCGTATAGCTCAGTGGGCCTTACCTGGTAAAATAAAAAATAGTTTAAAATAAAGATAGTTTATATTATTTGATAGTTTCCTTACCTTTCATGTTCTCCTGAACCTCTGCATTGTGTCTCCAGTAGACCTCCCAGTAAGAGAGTTTTGTACTCTCAAAAATCCAGAATTGGAAGAATTTGTCCATGTTCACCTCCTGCTCCTCCTTGGTGAAGTTGACCTTCAGGAGTTCGTGGTTCACGCGTCCCCAGCGTCCGCGTGTCCATGAACATCGCCCCCGTGGGGATGATAACGGTAACCTGGTGTCCTCTCTCGACGAGCCTGGTGCAACGGTAAACGGTGCAAGCCCTGCAGTCACGCCATTCTTGACGGAATGGGGCCTCTACAAGAGGACTCATTTTTGGTGATGATGTATTTGGAAGTGGTGCACAAGCACAAATAGCAACAATTCCAACACATTCGTCAATAGCACTGTGTGGCTTTAAATGGCACGAAACAATATATGTAAATGTAGACATTTCAATAAATGTCCCTTATTCGTAGCACGTAAATAAACCAGAGGTAGAGTGGATAATACAAGTTGGAGACTGCACTTTACACAATGGGTCTTGATGAAAATCGAATTTAAAAAAGTATATCTGATGACCAGTTTTTATTTAAATGGGCATATGAAAAGTTACATAATAGAGGTAGTTCTAGACACCCCTGTGTAAGATATTTTGCCTACTATTCCAGGTTTAGGCACTCTTTACCCCAATCATGACACTGTGGTGTACCCAATTACACTGCTGGATGGACAGGCAGTGGGAGGGGCAGGGGGAAGGGGGGTAGGGGTTAAAAGGGGGAGGGGGAATTTTAATATATTTTCCTTGTTTCAACTCCCATTAACTTGAGGTCGAACTTATACCCAGCGATCGTCACGCCCTAACTGGCAGGCTAATGCCCCAGGTCACTCTTGCACATTGCTCATCCTGGTTTCTTGAGTTCTCACAGCTGATTAAACGAGATACAGTTAAACTTAGAATTCACGACACTTATACATTTGCTTGAATGGCTGCCTGGATTGAAATCCACGTTTCATGAATGTGGGGTTCATTACTATGACCCTTGTAGCACATGACTGCCTCAACTAATTTAAATATGGGCACGTCCACGTACTTTTAAATCTCGATTAAAAATAATTTCTTTAGAACTGCTATTTGTGTTTAGATGTGTTGTCTTTCCCCTGTACTTCTGATTAGCATGGTTGGCTACGTAAGGTGTGAAACATGTTCAACATACATGCATATTAATCTCACCAAGAATTGATTGTCTTTTGGTTTTTTTATGTATGTTGAACTTCTTTCACACCATACATAGTCAACCGTGCCAATCAGAGGTGCGTTTGTTCTCCTTGTTTATACGTTCATACATGTGCTGGGTTCCTTCTGCCCTTTTGCATGACATCGAGCATTCCGTAAAAATATATAAGAACTATGGTTAGTGATCTTTTTAAAAATGTATACCAATATTGCGCAAATTAGAATGGGGTCATTTATTACGATTAGAGATGGATCAGAGAATAAAGTAGAATCATACACACCATATTTACTGTTAAAAACATAATGGATTGGACAGGGCCCATCAGAAGGGATGATGAGTGGTGTTAAATCAGAATCAGTTTATTTATTTCAACTAGAGGAATCCGATGAGTTATAAAGCTTTTTTTCACAGATGTTCAGTAGGGGTGGGCAAGAACGTTACAACAACGAACACAATATAGAAACACGATAGGAGTGCAAAGTATAGGAAAGGTAAGCAAATCACTTAATTATATATATAAATAAACTAAACTATTTTATTTTACTAGGTAAAGCCCACCAAGATATTAACCGTTTTTCAGCGACCTGGCCTCAAATGATAGCAGCCACTTAATATAAATAATATAAACGCATGTTTCTAAAAGTTGAGGGAAAAAACCGGAGGACCCGGAGAAAAAATCCACGTGACCACGGCGAGAACATACAAACTTTCAAATATACAGGCGTCAGGGTCAGGATTGACCCTCCGACATCCGTCTAACCATGTGAGGAAGACAACTCCATGGCACCGCAGCACCCTTTAATTAAAGAACATATATTAAGACAAAGAGACGGAGTGGAATCCCATAGGAGAGAACTCGCCGTGGGAATTAAGTGATGACATCAGGTAAGGATAAGGTAGCGAGCTGGATTGTGCCATGGTGGGACTGTGAAGGATGGCGATTGCGTATAGGAGCCTTCATCCAGTAGGGTATAATTAGATGGTGATGATGCTGATAATGATGGCATTATGATGACTGTCTCTTGCATACTCATCCATGATGGATTTGATGTTGATCCAATGGCTGGCATCGGCTGGCCACACCAAAACATTGCCACCACGTGCCACTTGGGACAGCCCAGCGACGAGACACAGGGAAGTCCAGTGAAGCAGCATTTCCTGGGTACATAGAAGGCACGCGTTGGCAACAAAAAGAAATGCAGCCATTTTATACAGATAATATGAAAGATCGCTTTAACACATAGGCTTTCGCGACCAATGTTATCTATAATAAAGTTTTTTGGGGTTAGATTGCGTAAGTATAAATGTGTTATTATTTGGTTCTTTCGGATAAGTCACGTCTAAAGATAAAATAATAAATTACATTAAATAATAGAATACGACGTTTCGATTGCAACACAAGCAATCATCATCAGGTATAATGAAATAGCGACATAAAATCTAACCAGAAAACTATAGAGAGACATTAGCAGACAGATATCACCAAGATACATAGAGAGAGCAACACAGGTAACAGAGAGGGGTGATCGTCTCTGTGGGGTGGCCTTAAATAGACAGAGGGGGGCGGAGGCAGAGAGAGGGAGGGGGGTTAGAGAAAAAATTAGCATATCAATGAGTGGACAACAAACGTGGTGCTGCAAGTGCAATGACACGGCAAGCAAGCCTGAAAATCAGGAGGACACACTAAAATTAAATAACCTAGTAAAATATCGAAATGTAATGTAATACAACACAGAGGGTCGGTCAACACACAATTAACGCATAGCCTGGTTGATTACGTATTTCAAAGATTGCTAAGTTAGAATTTAAGTGTGAACATTCCAAAGAGAGGACACAGGCAGAGAGAATAAGTAGTCAGAGAGAGAGAAAAAAGAAGATAAGTTTAAAACTTCCCCGTAGAAGTGGTTCAATCTTAATTTTAGAACTTTCGTGACTGCAGGAATTATTATTTGGTTCTTTCGGTTAAGTCACGTCTAAAGATAAAATAATAAATTAAATTAAATAATAGAATACGACGTATTCTATTATTTAATTTAATTTATTATAGAATACGACGTATTCCATTATTTAATTTAATTTATTATTTTATCTTTAGACGTGACTTAACCGAAAGAACCAAATAATAATTCCTGCAGTCACGAAAGTTCTAAAATTAAGATTATAAATGTGTTGTTGAATCTGCCACCACGCCTGATGATGTCGGATGCAATCACGAAGCAAAACGTCGAAAAACATTTGTAAAAATGTTTTAGATGTTCAAACACAAAATAGACATACCTATTGCAAAGCATCATCAAATCTGCATTAACCACACATGCCTGTGGTAAATCGTGCAAACAAACATGCTTTCCATAATAAAAGGGGATATTTTGGGTTAGAGCCCGTAAATCTAAATAATAATTTACATGTATTTGTAAGGCGCCTTCCACTAATGTCTTAAGGGGCCTTGTAAGAATAAGGTTAAGGAAAGGCCACGAGAAGAGAGCTGAATATAATAAATGGAATTAAGAAAATGTATTTGTAGGCGCGACTTAAACATTTCCACATTGTCGGTTAAACAAATTTCCAATGGTAGGGAATTCCACGACCCAGACGCAACCACGAAAAATGCCCACTCACACCAGCAATGCAGCAGAATCGAGGTACGCAGATCTTAACGACCTTGTGAATATATGGTGGTGCCAGCTCATGCAAGGCTTTAAAAACGAGTAGAGAAGGCTCTTAAACTATACTCACTTCAAGACCGGTAGCCAGTGTAATGATAAGAGAACTGGAGAAATGTGGTCACGTAATGGGGTTCGGGTGAGCACCCTAGCTGTCGCATTCTGAATAATTTGTCTTCTACCAAGGACCTATTTTAAATACGAACCAGCAAAGCATTGCAGTAATCAATTCACAAGAGGACAAGTGCATGGACCAACCTCTTACATTCAACCGGTCCAACATCAATGCCACCTTTGCATCGACGAGTAAGACAGCGTTGTAGACTTCGTTCCCCTAAGAAGCTGAGTGAACAGAGTTCAGCGTGCGATGCTAAGCGCAATCGGAATAACGGAAACCGATCAGAAAATCACGTGAAAGACATGTGTACCTGGATGGAACAGGATTTGGATGAATACCAGTTTTTCAGTTTCATTTATTTTCAGTTGCAGTTTCATTTATTTGGTATAGCCCTGTGAGCCATTCGGCTCTTGAATCGGGTGCAACCGCAACGAACAAAAACATGAACAAGAAACATCTTAAAGTGACTACGCGCAAACAGAATAATCCAGGAAAAATTAATCCGTAAAAACAAAGTTTTTCACTATAAATCCTTAATATGCGTGGCATCGGTTTTATTTTATTATTCATTTCTGTTTTTTCTTGAGTAAGAGTTTCATTTTTATCACATTGGTATTTTAAATTTAATATGAAATTTATTTTTTCCTAAAAAGTGTAAAATTTTGTGGAAAAAAATTCACGACAATAAATTGTCACTCACAACGAGTCTGTGTGCAAAATGTCAGCTCTATTGGTTGACGGGAAGTGGGTTAAAAAACGACCGAAAGATTTGCACGGTCGTAAGCGTGCAAGCAAGCAAGTGAACTTAATATAAAGGATTTAAATAAGTATAACCCGTAAAAACAAAGTTTTTCACTATAAATCCTTTATATGCGTGGCAGCGAACTTAATATAAAGGATTTAAAAAATATATATGCCTGTGGAGGACGCGGGGATCGATCCCACGACCTTTGGCATGGGAAGCGAGGGCGCTACCAACTGCGCTACTCTGCCACGGCCTATGGAGGGGTTACGCTCTGGGCTCTTATACTGTGACGTTCAGCCAAAGTGATGAATGAGTTCTATTTGAATATATGTAAAATATATTTTTTTTGCCTAAAAAGTATAAAATTTTGGGAATTTTTTTTTCACGAACATTAATTGTCTGGCACAACGAGTCTGTGTGCAAAATGTCAGCTCGATTGGATCACGGGAAGTGGGTTAAAAAACGACCGAAAGATTTGCACGGTCGTAAGCGCGCAAGCAAGCAAGTGAACTTAATATAAAGGATTTAAAAAACAGCAAAGTCCGATCAAGGGGAGCACCACAGGAACAAGTCCTGCCTTTGCCAGTGGTAGTTCCATGCCCAACTGCTTCCCCAACGGTGGGCAGTAAAATTAGAAACAAATACAGCGCAAGCAGCGTCTCCTGCAGCGTCGGGCCGTATGATAGTGGGTGGTGCCGAGCAAATAGGGCACAGGAGTAATGGCCAATACTAAGGGGCCGTCCATAAATGACGTCACGCGATTTTGGACGATTTTTGACCCCCCCCCCCTCTTAGTCACGCGGCGACACAAAAAGTCAGACCCCCCCCCCTTCAAATATGACGTCACAAAACTCTGCCCCCCCCCCCCCCAAAAAAATTAACATGCTTCAAATCGCTTTAAACTATTGTCATTGTAGTGCATTTAATGTGGCTATGCACTCTGATGTTGTAGGAGAAAACATTTATTAAGAAGTCTATTTAATTAAGTAGAATGTCTTGTGTATATTTATTTAAAGTTGCGCATTTTGATGTGACGCCACATTTCTCACCCCCCCCCCCCCCGTCGTCATACATCGTCACAAATGTCTGACCCCCCCCCAGGTGCGTGACGTCATTTATAGACGGCCCCTAAGTGGGGGGGGGGGGGGGTGAGCAGGCCGTGCCGTGCTCCCACTCGCAGGTGGCGCTGAGCACGGGGCCAGCCTCGCCGAGTTTCCACTGGCTTACTCTTTGGTTATTTCGGTAAAGTCACGTGGGTATAAAATAAAATAAATTAAATCACGACGTTTCGGGCGCAACACAAGCGTCCGTCATCAGGTGGGACTACCACAGCAATACACAATTGCTGAAGTTTCGATTTAAAGCTTTCGTGACTGCAGGGATTCATCTTCTTGGTTCTTTCGGTAATGTCACGTAGAATGGAAATAATGAAATAATAAAAATAAAACATAATAAAATAATTCTCACGAGGTTTCGGCCACAACGCAAGCAGCCGTCCTCAGGTGAAGAACAGGTCTGTCGGAAAAACAGCGTCTGAAGTCTTTCCGACAGACCTGTTCTTCACCTGAGGACGGCTGCTTGTGTTGTGGCCGAAACGTCGTGAGAATTATTTTATTATGTTTAATTTGTATTATTTTATTATTTCCCTTCTATGTGACTTTACCGAAAGAACCAAGAAGAAAATTGCTGAAGTGTTGCGCCCGAAACGTCGTGATTTATTTTATTTTAAACCTACGTGACTTTACCGAAAGAACCAAAGAGTATGGATCCCTGCAGTTACGAAAACTTCAAATCGAGACTTCCACTGCCTTGTTGGTGCTGAGCCAGGTACGAGACGCGCCAAACGCCCACACTCGCTGGTGTTGCTAAGAGCCGGCCGAGCAGTGGAGCCCAACAGTGCAGCTGAGCAAGGGGGGCGAGCAACACCAAGGCCCCCCCCCCCCCCCCCCACTTGCTGGTGGTGTTTAGTGGGGGACGACCCGCGTCCAACTCCCGCTCGCTGATGTATGCTTGGCGGAGGACGACGAACCGCGCTCAGCTGCACTGTTTGCAGGGCCACTGGAGGGAGGCACGAACTGCGTCCACATCGACAATAGTGATGCAGTCGGCAGGATCGGGCGTGCCGTGCTCACGCTGGCGGCGGTGATTGGGCACAGCAGGCAATGCCGCGCTCACGCTGGCGCTGGAGACAGCAACTTCGATGGTGGGGCACAGCCCACTTGCAGCACTTGCAACGGTCGCAATGGCAGGGACCACCTCGGTAGCGTGGCACAGCAAAACTGGACCGGTGGTAGAGCACAGCAGGCGACCCCCCCCCCTCCCCCTGCGCTCACGACCGGCACGAGCAGGCGCGCCGATATTAGCGGCGGTAAGCACAAAATAAAAATAAACGACGTAAGATGTGGAATAAAGAAACAGAGCGGGAGTCGAAGAAGAGCGTGAAGAGTTTGGAGAGGAAAGGCGATGGAGAGGAGAAGAAGAAAGAGGGATACTCGAACCACAAAGCCAGCTCAGGTAAGGACAGGAGACACGGCCAGTCAGGAGGGGTTTGTCACGTTCACAAAAAGTGCCAATTAGTTACTAGTTCAGCACTAACCGGTGTGTTAGAGAGTACACCCACAAGAGAGAGAGCTCTGGAAAGCCCCTTCTATTTGGTATGTTTTGCCTGCTCTTCCACGTTGGCTCAGACGTCTTAGAAAGTAGTGGGAGTTTAGCCACGATTTCCCCCACCCACCACACGCTGCATACCGAGGTGAACAGAGGTGGGGGCATGTAAGAAGAATAATAACAATCCCTATTATTTATATTGTTTTTATTTTACCAGGTAAGGCCCACTGAGCTATGTAGCTTTTTTTCAGAAGCGACCTGGCCATCACAAATGATGGCTCAACGAAGTGGGCTTATCATCAAGTGGGAATTTACAGCAGCAGCCAAATACTGTGATCGCGTGATGTTTGATTCTAAATGTGGAGGGAAAACCCCGAGGACCAGTAGAAAAATCCCACGCGATCACGGAGAGAGAGAGAACACGCAGACTCCAAATATACAGCAGGCGTCAGGATGGGGATTGAACTACCAGGGGAGGGAGTTCACATCTCAGAATCTAATTTGTTTTAATCAGAATCTTTATTTCGACCAGAGGATTCCGATGAGCTATGAAGATTTTCTTTGGCACAGGCGTCCAGAAACTCATGCCAGCAGCAGACGCCAAATCCACCCAAAACAACTGTCAGCAGCAGCAGCAGAACACGCGTGCCAAGCCATTATCAAAATCAATTGATTTTGATAATGTTGAAGTTCTGTGCAAAACTAGCTACGACTGGTCAAGACTAATTATAGAATCTATCGAAATTTAAAGAAATAAAAATAACTTTAACCGAAAAGATAGCTACCGCCTTAGTGCTGCGTGGAAGCGAATCATCAAATAATACATTATTTAAATGTCTTAATTTAAAGCTTTCGTGACTGCAGGAATTCATACTCTTTGGTAATTTCGGTAACGTCACGTAGGTAGAAAAAATAATAGATCACGACGATTCGATCGCAACGCAAGCAATCGTCATCATGCGATTGCTTGTTTTTTCCGCCTGATGACGATTGTTTGCGTTGCGATCGAAACGTGATATATTAGTTTTTTTACAGAGGTGACTTTACCGAAAGAACCAAAGAGTATGATTTAAATGCATACCTATAAAGAGCAGCATACTTCAATAGGGTTTACCGTTGGTACGGCTATTTTAATACACACAATAGAAAGGAAGGACAAGTTCAAAGGGCTCGCATAATGCATCATGGTCGTTGCCTCAGCAACCCCCCACCCCCACGTGGCGCAAGAGCGCAGAAGCGTGGTCACCACATCTACGCCTCTAAGTAAGGAACAAAACAGTTAGACTTCTCCACAAATCTGGCTGTCGCCTGATCAAGCTAGTTGTAATTACTGGCGAAACGTCGTATTCAGATTGTAAATGTTGTGGCTTGGCACTCCAACACACCGATGTGCTGTACGAGTGACGAATTGCCATGTTCTGTTTAACTGACAACCCTTACTAGTTGGCTCTGTCGGGTGGTGGTGGGTTTTAACGACACATTTATATATTTACTCTATCTAACCCAAAAAACATCTATTATGAACGTTCAGTAATGTTCTACAACCGAGAGGCAATTATAATGATGACGATGTTGAGAGGTCGTGACGGTGAACCCAGAGGCTCGTGTGTGCATACCGGGGGTTATCCGCTGGTCGTAGAGTCGTCTGACTGCGCTCCAACAAAACACATCAACGGTGGCTCCAAGCTGCAAAGCCTGGCAGAGGAAATTTATACCTCGCACGCGCGCGTGTGTGTTGCATAACAGCGAGCGAGCTCAAGCAGGTACAAAGATTATTGGAGAAAGGGGTAAAAGGTTTCAAAGTTCGTTTTTAATCATTGACATTCCACTGACAAGCAACCCCATTTGGCCCGTGAGCACACAAAGGCGATACATCGAGGAGATAAGTTTAACCTCGGACTGTGACTCACTATGATGATGTTTATAATGTTTAAAGCGGTGGTTCTCAACCAGAGGGACGCGGACCCCTGGGGGATATGTTGGAAATGTCCCAGGGGGATACGTGAGGTGATTTATTAATGTGTAATAAAGGACTCGACCACGAAGTCTGGCTTGGTGTCCTTTATTCGGTCCTTCCTCGTAACCCACACGGCAGTCCTTTTATTAGACTTCTATACCGACACTGATACTGCTGTTAACTCCGTCACGCCAACAGTTCCTCTGTTGGTCTCCCGTCGTCGTTGTAGCCTTGCTGGCTGTTATCCTCACGCAGCCCCCACTGGCTGTTCTCTCTGCAGTTTCTCCTCTCGTCGCTCTCGTAGCCTCTCTCTCTCCTCTCGTTGCTCTTGTAGCCTTTCCCTCACACACAGCCTCGCCGGCTGTGTTCACTGCGGCTCCCCGACCGCCTTCTCTCCAGCAGCCCCACTGCTGTCTCTCCCTCTCAGGTCCGCTGGCTGTTCCTTTAGCTGGCCACCGCTGGCCGCCGTGCCACCCCTTCTGGCTTTGCCCACGTGGCCTTGCTCTGGTCCAGTCTCACTCGTTCTGCCCTCCTCTTCCGGTCTCATCTCTTAAGAACCTTAACCTTGCTCCCACGTCACCTAACTCCACCTCTCCGTGACGTCACATCCGGGAGGTCGCCCGCGCCCGCATTACACCACCCTCCCCCGTGGAGAAAAACCCAGCCGACCTCGGCTGAACAACACCAACAGTAATGCGGGCGAACCCGAGCGTAACACACCAAAGGACACCAAGCATGCAATATAACAGTAAGAACAATCAACACAACTCAACAATCAAATAACGTAGCAGAAGCAGGCAATAAATACACAGTAAGAACAACGCAACATAACAATCAACGAAACACAAGGGATTTAGAGCGTGTGCGGGTCGCCGGCCCGTCCCGGACGGTCGGCGGCCCATCCGCGGAACGGGAACGTGATTGAGTTTGAGGAGCGACAGGGTGAAATCCCCCTGTCGCTGTTGGAAGTCCACCAACGTCCCGTGTCCCTGAAGGATCAGTCTTGGGCGTGTCCCGCGGATGTGTCTGCAGCGGGGTCGGAAGGGCTGCAGGGCTCGAAGGACCCGCAGATCTGGCAGGCACCCTCCGAGCAGGGCGCCTCGTCCCCTCCGGCGTCAAGGCCGGCCTGTTTCGGTGGATCCTTGGGCGGCTTGGCCGGTAATGAGGCCTCCTGTTGCGGCGGACCCGGGATGCGGGCCCAGCAGTCCTTTGCGTAGTGGCCCCTCCGTTCGCAGCGGAAACAATCGGCGTCGTTGCGCCGAAGCGCAGGCCTTGCATCGCGCCGGCCTCGTATCGGTGGTGCAGCACGAGAGGCCGGTCCACCGGGGCTTGACCATGGCCCCGAGGCGGCCGTCAGCTCCTGAGGGCCCCCCCCATCCGGCACGTATACCGACTTCGTAGGGTCCCATCCCAGAGCGCCACCCTCTGCAACGGGCCCCCCTGTCCACGCCGCAACTTGTTTCCACCGTCGTAGGTTGAATTGCGCATCGAGACATTTCGCCGCCGCCCGGGAGGTGAGCTTCTCATGCCCGCACACCGGCATGGGAATCCCAAGATCCCGCGACAGCTCGAGCATCTTGCCCAAGATGAGAGGCTCGAGCAGGTCAGGTGTTGTATCTGGATACGCGGCCATAGCCAAATCAAGCACCGCACCCCTGTACGCCACAGGCGACTCCTCGGGCGCTCGTTGTCGTTGAGCGAATCGCCGATGCGCGTCGTCAGGTGGCTCGTAGGCGTCGGCCATTTATTGAAAAACTCCGTATAAAGTCCTCTTCTTCTCGGCCTTAATGGAGCGAAAAAAACGAACAGATTCGTCGTCCAGAAGAGTCGGTAACACTTCTAAGGCCTCAGCATCGGTCCATCTCGCAGAATGGACCGCCGCCAAAAATCTGCAGGCGAAAGCGCTCCAGTCGCCCCCAATGGCGAATTCTTTGACCGTGGTGAGATGGCGACTCCGACTCCGCTTTACTCCGCCCTCCGCCGATGGTTCCTCCGGAGGCAAATTCAAAATGGCGTCGAACCGCGGCGTGGTCAAGATGGCGGTTTCCCGCCGCGGAACGCGCAAGATGGCGGCCTCCTGCCGCGTGGCCAATGGCGCCGGGAGTGAAGATACCGTGGCGGCCTGTGGAGCACTCTCCGCTCTCTCCGTCGCCGTCCTTGGGGTGACGAGATGACACAATTGGCCCAGGACATCCTTGAGAGTCTCCAGTTGCTCCGCCACCTGCAGCCATCGCAGATCAGCGTCTGATGTTGTCGGCGGCCCTGACACTGCGGCTACATCTTCAACTCCCGTCCCCGCACTCGTTTCAGCAGGGCACTCCTCCACCACCCCGGCAGGATCCATGTTTGGAGGGAAGTCTTCGTCTTCGGACGAAGAAGCCGATGCTGGCGCTGGAACATTTTTCTTTCTCACTTGTTTCGACATGCCGTTGCACTTCCGACACCAATGTAATAAAGGACTCGACCACGAAGTCTGGCTTGGTGTCCTTTATTCGGTCCTTCCTCGTAACCCACACGGCTGTCCTTTTATTAGACTTCTATACCGACACTGATACTGCTGTTAACTCCGTCACGCCAACAGTTCCTCTGTTGGTCTCCCGTCGTCGTTGTAGCCTTGCTGGCTGTTATCCTCACGCAGCCCCCACTGGCTGTTCTCTCTGCAGTTTCTCCTCTCGTCGCTCTCGTAGCCTCTCTCTCTCCTCTCGTTGCTCTTGTAGCCTTTCCCTCACACACAGCCTCGCCGGCTGTGTTCACTGCGGCTCCCCGACCGCCTTCTCTCCAGCAGCCCCACTGCTGTCTCTCCCTCTCAGGTTCGCTGGCTGTTCCTTTAGCTGGCCACCGCTGGCCGCCGTGCCACCCCTTCTGGCTTTGCCCACGTGGCCTTGCTCTGGTCCAGTCTCACTCGTTCTGCCCTCCTCTTCCGGTCTCATCTCTTAAGAACCTTAACCTTGCTCCCACGTCACCTAACTCCACCTCTCCGTGACGTCACATCCGGGAGGTCGCCCGCGCCCGCATTACAAATGTATGAAGTTATATCATGTATGAGAGTCGTGGGTGAATAATTACGTCGTACGAATATGTCAATATTAAATAACTACGATAACATAAAAATCCATATGGTAACGAAAAACCATACAAAATACCTTTATAAACTCATTGATAGTAAACAATGCGGGTTTCCAAGAGTAACCAGCGAGAGTGAACAAATTACGTCACGCAGGTGAAGTTAGAAGATGTCCATGTGTGTGAACTCGGGGCATTTGAAGACCTGAAGACCATAATCGGTGATTTTGCCGACAGTTCAATATCCGGACAGAAGAGTGCAGAAGGGAGATTCTGTCCAGGGAGCAATGTTCTGGCAACTGTGGAGAGGGGGCCAAGCGCGTGGCTTGGCAGGGTTGTGCATAATCGGGTGGCACAGCATATTGCATATGGGATGAAAGGCCCACTTAGCAATTAGCCCTTTTTCAGAAGCCACCTGGCCACAGATGATAGCTCAGCGAAGTTGCTTATCGTCACGTGGAAATGTATAGCAGCCGAATACTCTATACGCGTGTTTTAAATGTGGAGGGGAAAACCGGAGGACCCGGAGAAAAATCCACGCGACCATGGGGAGAGAGACACGGAAAATAAAAATTTACAACAGGCATCAGGGTCGGGATTGAACCCACGACCTCCTTCATACCAGGCGAGACATATAGCATCTCGCCACCGGGTGCTCCCCTAATAGTGAGCAGACACCAACTATTAAGGGCCCATGAGGATCCGGAGGCTCTCTCGCACAAAATCTGAGCGTTGGTTAACGCTCAACGATTTCGGATGCAATCGCGACGCAAAACGCGAAAGTAATTGTCAAAATTTTAAAGATGTTCAAACATCAAATAGACAGACCTATTGCAAAGCATCATCAAGTTTGCATTAACCACACATATCTGTGGTATAATGTGCAGAAACAAACGTGCTTTTCTTGGATTAGAATCCGTAAATAGAAATGTGTCGTCAAACCTGCCGCCACCCGACACAGCCAATTAGTAAGATTTCCCACGTAAAAAACCCGTGCCAATGAGTCACTACTCCAGCACACCAGTGGGTTGGAGGGTAAGCCCACAACATTTTTTAATTCGAGTGCCGTGACGTCTCACTGCTGATTGCAACCAGCTTCATCAGGCGTGCAGAACATCCCAGTGTGATTCGTGGCAGGGTCTTTAGGTAGCTCACCAAAAGCCAGCGGAGCATCATCCCCATCGCAGCTTGAAGCTGCTACGAGTTGGGAGCGGTGGCGCAGCGGTTAGCGCATCGTGCTACGAGCATGGCGACCCAGGATCGAATCCCGCTCACAGCCAACAACAGCGGTTACAATAATCTGAGCCGGTCTTGGTTCTCCCCTATGTCGACTCAAATTCAAATGACTACCTTGCGGTGTGTGGCGGCCGGGATCGGTGTTGGCCACCCTCCTCCTCGTGTGCCACGCCGGTCTTAATAGGCGCTCGCTAACAGTACTCGCTTCAACGGGTCTACACAATTGGCGATCTTTTATCTTTGCTGCCAAAAAAACCTGGATGTCACCCGAGGTTCACGTAATGGAGGTTACTCAATGATTCGATGCATGAACCAGGTTATTAAACCGCGAGTTAATGTTTGGATAAATTCTACGTACCAAGCTGCCGCCACCGGCGGTGTTGACAACCTGCCTTCTCTTTCGAAGTTCATTTCGCCAGGGTCGGTTCGGTGCATAACTTCCCCGCGCCCTCGAACTGATCACGAGGAATACCGCCTCCGATT